GAGAGAGAGAGAGAGAGAGAGAGAGAGAGAGATAATGGGGAGGCGAGATGCCATTGAAAGGAATACGCGTGACCTACGCTTGACTATGCTGGTGTCCAGCAAACCGGAAGCGAGAGACGGGGCATGGCGTCTATGTGTGAAAGTTTCCGACAGTTCAACAAGGAGACAAAGCGATGTAGAGAGGGGCCGACCTCTCCTACCACTGCGCCCAGCAGCCGAGATCGACGAGATAAATGCAAGACCTCGACGTGTATGTGTAAATGTTGTCTATGGCAGAAAGTTGAGAGATGGTACAGGCACATCACACAGGTGACATTCGTACGTTGCTACACCACATTGATGCACAGCACCGGCATTCCCCTCTCTACGCTTGTGCAAGTGTCCAGTGTGCAACCTGTTCAACCTGTTCCCTGCTCCTCGTTCACGACTCGTTTGCTTTTTGTCTGAACAATTGCAAACAGGTCACGGTGTTTGGACCGCCGTCACCCTCAATCCAAACTCACTCGAACAGACACACATACCCTAAACTCGCTCGTGGCTCCTCTTCTAAGATCATTTGCGAGAGAAACTATTTTCCTGTTCACCGCTGCTGCTGCTGATCAACACCACCTTTCGAGCCCCACACAATTTCGTCAACCGAACGTGTTGTGTTTCTGCTCTGCATACAGGCAATCCACGGGCCCGTACTTCCACCAGGATTGGGCGATAGGGAAAGACTGGATGAGGGGGGTGGGTGGGTGGGGGAAGAATCACGATACCTGCTCTCCGAGGCGGACGGAAACCAACGCACTTTTTGCGTGCACAGATTCTCGGCGTGCTTTGTTACCGCAGCCCGTGTGCGGTGCCCCGTTGAGGGAATATGCAAAGAAAGAACGTGGGGGATGGGTGGGGCTTGTTGTCTGTTGAAGACATCGCCAACAAGTGCTTGTGGCTGCCCTTTGAGTTACCGTTGGCCTTGCAATAGGGCAGGGTTGTTGTACCAACCAAACATGCCGGAACATTCTAAGAATGGGAGTAGACACGTAAAGGGGGGGGCTCTGGCAGTAGCGAAAGGTGGCATACGAAACCACGTTCGAGCATTCGAGAACAAGAAATGTGCCCAATGTGGTGTTTATTTGCGCTGTTGTGGATGGAGATGGTTGGAGCGTTCGTTAACCAGCAGCACGCTATTAAACTTGGTGAAGTATCATGTTTTCTTCGAGGAATGGATACGACCGGAAGGGGAGGTGGCATGGACAAGGCCCCATGGCCAATGTGAGACAGACTAACAAAGCATGCAATGCGCGTAGTACAACACCTCGTCTTGTCCAAACTACGCAACATCCAGATGAAAATTGAATAACACCATTCATTGCGATCGAGCCTAGAGCGACGTTTACAGCATCTTTTAGCTTTCAACTTTCTGTGGCGTGGGAGGTGCACACCTGCCTCTTGCTGGGTGTGTTGATCGAAAACTTGGATTATTTTGGACCGATCCTATTTCGCACCGATAGCCTGGCTGTCGTACGTTCATTGAAAAAGAGACTGCCAAGAGGTACATGTATGATGAGCAAAGCAAAATACAGTAGACCCTCGCTTAAGGACACCAAAATTAAGGAAACTCCCCCGGATAAGGACACTTTTTTATTTTGAAACATGGTGCCCCGCAGAAAATATCATAACGGGGGTGTCAAATACAGTCCGCGGACCCCCTTCAAACAGCAGTTCGCAGCGCGCCTGTAGACCGCAGATTTGCCGCAGAGAGGTCTGATGCTGCATGTGGCTCTCCGTAGAGGACGACCCTAGCGTGTTGGAGGAGGTAGCTATGGAACTGGAGATTGTGGAGAAGAATCTCGCAAACTTAGAGATTGATGATGGTTCCTCTGACAATGAAGATGATGGGGGCAGGCCAGAGTCGTGCATTACATCTTCGATGACAGAAGCCGAAGTTCGCAGTAGCCTAGAGAAGGTTCGCTCCTACTTGTACGCGAACGGAAAGGGTGGATAGTACAACGAAACCCCATACGTACCAAGTTTCGAAATGCATTCGTTAACTCACAGCACTCAAGTCAAGCGGCGAGCTAAGGATGGGGGAGAGCTGCAGGCAACTCTACGCAACATGTAGAGATCGTAGTGTGTGGAGTTTTTGAACCAACGCCGTATTTTGGGTGGCCTGTGTATGTCTTGAACCCGTGGCAGCACATGAGATTAGCGCACAGGAGTGGTTGCAGTGTGCTGGTTGACCCGAGTTCTGCGAAGTGAGCGCGAAGGTTCAGGCGTTCACAAGACATCCTGGTTGTAGTGTTGTTTAGTTAAAAAAAGTGACATAAAAATACAAATCTCGCTTCGACGTTCTGGCCTCCTCTTTCGCGCAACGAATACTGGAGCCCAATACGCGTTTGTTGGTGCATAAACCGCGTCTGTTGGCCCCGGAGATGGTGGGTTGTGGTCCCCTGACTTTTTAGGACACTTCCCCGGCCAAGGACACTTTTTTTAAGCGAAAAACCACACGTGTCATTGAGCGAGGATCGACTGTAGCAACAACAACCACAACAACAACAACAGTTTGTTCGGTTGTGCGTGCATATACGCATAGACTAATACCTGTATTACGCGGGTTCCGAGGTCGCCGCCAAGTGTACTTCATGTGCATCATGTTTTTACTGCTGCGCAGTTCAAAACAGAGGAAACACGACGAACACTCGCAACCGGAAACAAAAAAAATAGTATTATAGTCCAGATGGCACCAACCAGAGTCACATATGGTTGTTGTTGTAGTTGTGCATTCGAAACACAACTAGACGGTATACCTATCGACGAGTACAATACAAGGCGTTCAACTGCTGTCAGGAGTACGTGTACACTTCGAAGTACATTACGCATCAGTAGCACGTCCAACAGAGATATCTGCTCGGAGTCGTTCTTCTTCTCGACCGTCAACAAAAATATGTGTTTCAGATGGTTTTCGCGGCCGTCGGCCGCGTAATTAAACCTCGTGGAAACTGTCCCGCGTCGAAAAAAAATCGCCTAGGAGAGAGCTTCACGAGGGCATCTATCATCGGAGAATGAGAGAGGAACAGATGAGGTAAACTGGGACTGAGACCCGACGCAGGTTGATTGGCAAAAAGGGCGCTTTGGGTATTTTGTGCGAACGCGCCAACAATATTATTGAATCTGAAATCCCAAAAAATGCACGCGCTGTCGCTACGGGAGAAGTACATGGCAGCGGACAAAAAACAGGGCACAGGGTGTCGCCGACCGCACGCCGCGTACATAACCACACACACGTCCGTGCTAGTTGCGTTTCGCTTCGTGACCGGCAAAATGAAACAGAAACGTTCAAATCTTCGTGGGCGAAGCAGCCCGTTGGCGTTTTGCAATCTCCACAACTAAATACATGAAGCCCGTTGTGTGTACTTCTATCCGCATGAAACTCCAACGCCGTTTGTTTCAACGGCTACCAGGCACTTGGACCAGGTTCACGCACGCCGCGTCTCAACAGGCGCAGCTGGCGTGTACCCAGTATACACGAGCGGCTGCACTTGCAGCGCCTTGGTCACTGAAACCACCCCCGGTTACACGCGGCACAGGACCCCGGACCACGGAGATGGTGCGGCCAGGAATGTCCCTCTCTCCCCCCGAGCAAACCAAAACGAAACCGGACACAACACGTACATTACCCCGTAAACATCAGCAGCAGCACCAGTATCAACACCGGCAGTAGCAGCAGTAGTAGTGGCTGCGGGTGGATACGCTTGCTGCGCCATGTGTACTGCTGTGTGCTTTTCAGCGAAGAGCACCCTCCTAACGCAACACCTTCTTTCCGTAGTGTCGGGTGGACATTGCCGCTTTGCAACTGCCGTCCAAAACTCTCTGCTGCTTGCTTCGATCATGCTTCTGTCCTCTGTGTGCGTGCAGCGTAGATATCCCTGAGCTACGAGCCAACGAATCCTCGCTGGTGCTTACCTGTATTCGAATGAACCATCCACGTACTTCTCGCTGTAGTCGATCCTATTCATGGTGGGGAGAGAGAGCTCTGGTCGGTGCCGCAGCCGTTTGTGTGTGTACAGCAGCAGTTCAAGCGCGCGCTTTCCCGAGAGTTGCGGAGATTCGGAGAATTCGGAGATTTGTAAGTTTGAGAGAGAAGAGAGAAGCGAGAGAGATCGAGAGAGATCACGACGGGACTGTCATGTACTCTAGTTGATGGTTTTGGATCTGGGTCGGATGTGCTTGACGCTCCGACCCGCGTAGAAACTCTGGAGCCCGCGGGGGGTAAGACTCTCGAACCACGGCAACTTATCGCCTCCCTAGATCAAGTGGGGATTGGGATAACATCACCCGCCACCCGTACCGGATTGCCGGACGTTAGCCGAGACGCTGTGTAGTCTACATACATGTGGTAGATGTAGCGTACGCCGATTAGACTAGTCTACCTGTAGCATGATTGTAGTCTACTGCGTGTGCTGCCGTTGTATGTAGGTACACTTCACGACTTTGACGCGCGGCTTCGTACAATACAAGTTGTCGTAGTCTGCAGGAGTGTGTAGGGGCATCATTCCCTCTCTTTACGTAGCGGAATCGCCGAAAGTCTCTATGTACCTCGAAATACTGCTGCTGATGCTGTCGAGATGCCTTGTCTTGTCGAGTTATATCTCTGGTGGCCGCCGACTGCTGGCTCTGGTGCAGACTGCTGGATACAGTGGCTACAACATGCAAGCAGGGGTGGGAAAAAAGGCTTGGTCGGGTACCACCGGTTGTCGACGCTCCTGTGTATCTCTGATGACCAGGTACACGAGTTCATACTTTGCTGTGCATATGGCCATGATGACATCACCGTTTCTCGTTAAAATTACACAGTGGGCCCGCTACTACGTGAAATCATCCACCAGCTGACGCGATAATAAGAATAGGGAGTGAGAGCAGCTCAGCCGTGGGTCCTACATACCTCTACACGGATCTTGTGCTCGGCGGTTGCAACTTTACACGAGCATGACGTTCTGGCAGTTTCTGCAATAAACCCAGTGGTAGACATCGGTGCCGGTTGACTGTAGTTATTGACATCACTGCCAATAACAACAACGCACCATATATGTACTTCTACATTCAAGATCAAAGGGATGGAGCAATCAAAGAGTCATTCGACAGACGCAATGCTATTCTCCACTTCAACCTGTGCTGAACTTCCTTTCAATCGTATCCTGTATCTGTTCTACAACGGATACCTGCTTGTCACCTGAGGTCGGTGACAATTTTTGACATGTAAAAAAATCTCTATCGTGCCGTTTCCCTGCCTTACCAGACCACAGTCCCCTTCATTCACTGCTAGCGCATTCAGAAGGGGGAGAACCCGTACCCTGATGACATTCAGGGCTTACCCACTTCACTCTGAACTCAAACTTACCACTACTGACTAGGCAAGTCATGACGGAATCATCTAGCAAGAAGACGACGTCTGCCTGCCATCCTCACATCCCTTACCAACACGACAAAAGACGATACCATCGACACACACTTCTCGACTGAACGACAATGACAACGACAAAAGAAGCAACTACCACGGTGGTTGCCTCGACATCTGACGCGGGCAACAGACATGATGACATCGCGTGAATGGCACTGAGAAGACAACCCCACCACCGGCAAGTGCGGAACCCACACACCAAACAGCAAATGCAAAGCGCGCGCGCGGAAATCGCTTCCCTTGCAAAAGCAAGTGCCATGCTTGAGCAGTGCAGGCTTCGGTTTCGACAACCTGGTCGAAACAAACGAGCAGGCAGCGTTACCACTTGGGTTTCGCAAAAAACAGTAGCGGCCGTACCTGACAAGCTACGCGTGATCCATAGCTGGATTCATGCTACGTTCTGTCCCTCCTTTGTTCTGCGGTGTTCGTGCCCGCTTGACCCGGGTGGGTGACAGAAAATCATCCATTACCCGGGCCGCTGTCGACAAAAACGCCTGGCAATTTCTCCCCGAAGTAGACCTTGGAGGTGTTGCCCATGCTGTTGGTTGTTGGCACCGTTGGAATTTTCGTTTGAAACCAATCGCGTTCCGCACCAACGGGTGGGGGTAAATAGGGTGAGCAAAAAAGGCGAGAGAACAAGTCGGCGCACAAAGAGAGGAAGCGGGGAGAGGGGGGAAGGAGCGACAGAGAGGGGAGACAGAGAAAGACGTAGAACCAAAACGAGGGACAAGCGCGCATGCGAACGGAGGGTTCAAGGGTGAAAAAGTGCTTGAATGAGACGCTGTTCTTCCTGATGCCATGCCAAGTAATCACGATTAACTCGTGAGGGACAACGGGAGGTGGGGGGAACAAGAACTCTTGAAGCAAATCTTCTCCACAATAAAAAACGAACAACTCGCTCGGGCGAGCGTGTATGATTTCGTTAGGTACCCATCCATACCAAATCCAATACACCAACGTGCCTAAGGGTGAAACATGACCAGACCACCATGCAGGATCGCCGTGCGCACGCAATCAATGGATGGTCAATGCCAATGCTCAGAGACGGCAGCAACAGCAGCGTGAGTATGCAGAGCGTCGAACTCGGGGATCTCGTGTGCTTCATGCGATATTGTTTAAGGCAAACGACAACCTGAGTATCCTAGAGTACTCCAGGAAATTGTCGGTGAGAAGGCGGTCATTGGACTCGGCCTCCTTGATGTGTGCGTAGTAGACGGCGTCAGCGTACGCTTTTTCACGGCCCAAGTGAATCTCGTCCTCGATCGACGAGATCCGACGGCGCACGTCCTTCTCCGCAAGCTCCTTTGGATATCATCGCGTTTGCGGCGACCGAGAGAGCGTGCAAAACGAGACGACCGAGTGAGATGTTGTCGTTGTACTTGCTGTTGCTGCAATCGTGGGTGCTGTTGTGTATCTGTTACTGTTGCTGCTGGTGTTTGGGGGGGCGGTGCAATCATGGGCGACAGACAGGACCCCAGGACTTCGACAAATGTTGTAACTCAAGATCGACGGATGTGAATACTTCATGACATGCACCTCTGCCATGCCTATCACGGGCGGACATGGAACCGGCTGTCTACCCACACACCAACCCGTTTCTCGTCTCAGCGCGGGGTCGTAGTGTATGGGGAGAAAACACACGCGCCGCTTCAAGCATACCATCGCGTGGTGGCTACAACCTTTGTGTTGCTGGGCGTATCGAATTCAACGACATTTTCATCGCCGGAACGTCGCAAACAGAGAGAAAAAACACGCACTCTTCGTATTTTCTATCCTGTCGAGGAAGAGTAGACGTTCCTTCCGTTCCACCGGGATCGTGGGTGGTCAAGTCGACGACAAAAACAGGCGTTGTTGGACAGCAAGCCTATCACGGCATTCGTTCTCAACAACTACTGCACGTAACTAGAGTTAATTTCACGCAAACGTCGCTCGAAACGTTGAAGGAAAACGGTGTACATGGGAAGGGAACAACAAACAACAAACACCACTGGGAACATTTCATTCCATCCAGGGCACCATCATCGGAGAACAATGGTGATATCATCATCGGGCCAAATCCCCGCTGTTTGTGAAGGCGTGTAACCCGACTCTCTAGTGCACACGGCTAGTCTCGCTGCGACCAATCGGGATAGTTTTAGTTTCCCCGTTCGGAAGCACGCACGGCTTCCAAGAACAAGTCTTGTAGCGTTTGGTTTTCCAATCCGTCGTTGGCAACCCTCATTCGTTCCTATCTTTCCCCCTTTCTTGGCTTCACCTTGTCCATATTGATCCTCGAAACGTCCGAGAGCATTTGCGCCTCTATCGTTGACTTTTTCCGCTCCGTTTCGGCCTCCTTCTCGACCACCCTCTGTGTCTCCATCGCAATCAAAAGCTTCGTCTTCTCGGCCTCCATCTGCGGCACGAATAACGATCGATCGACACCCCACCCAGCCCAGCATACAACATGTTGAAGTTGGAACAAAAAAAACAAATCGATCGACAACCCACCCAATGTAGCATCACGACATGTTGAAGTTGGAACAAAGGGTCGTGTCCGCCACTGGTCCTACTCGCTCCAGGCCGATCACTACTCAGGGGGGTACCGGCGGGCTCCATCAGCTACCCAGCGAGAAATTCGTGCTCTCAGGAGAAGAGTGAGACGAAAAAGAGCGAGCAGGTCGGCCGGTTGGCCGCACACTAGCCTTCGGAGTCGCATATGCTATGCCTGCACACTCGCAGCCCTTGCACCATTCGAACGGGATACCCAAACAAGTACTGGTACCGGAGGAGGAGGTGGAATTTCGCGATGCCAATTCCGAAAAAAAAAAGGGCGTGCCTGGTTCAAGAAGTATCGAGCTGCTGCTACCGCTGCTACCGTGGTGGCAGGATGCGAGGCGTGCGGCACACGTCCGCTCGTTTGACCCGCCCAGGTCGCTAACAACCGCGCCTCTACGTGTTCAATGGATCACGAAAAGTTCATCACAGAGTAGCGGGTAGCACCCTTCACTGCAGGGCATTTGGAAGACTTCTCGAAGGAAGCACCACGGCGTCACTTTATACTTCTACCCCATGCTCCACTCCCTGCCCCGCCCAACCAGATTTGTGGGGCGATGCTGTCGACAACAGGACAGGGAAAACGTACGCGAAGGTCAGGTGGGCGACGATAGGGACGTCTTGGGAAAGACGCCCGACAGTGTAAAGTCACCACTTCCACCATTGGCCTGCCGACTTCACAAATGAGTCAACTTCAAAGATAGTCTTGCGTCCTTTTCATTACTTCATTACTGTGCGGAATGAACATGGCGGGCGTATTCCCCGCCGCACGTGGCGCAAGACGCGTACATACGCTGGACATCCACCGGACAGCAAAAGGCTGCCTGACGCACACCTCATCCAACGAGCCAACCGTACCCAAGCACGCACCTTTTCAAAGTTCTGTCGAATCTGAGTTGGTATTCTCGGCTTGGTCACTCGGACGGAGATGATTTCAATGCCTGGGTGGCCACAGTCCACGGAGGATGCATCCAACGTGCCGGATTGTCGGCGAAAACGAGGAGAATACTGATGTAACGGTGGATATTTTACGGGTTCGTTGTCGCGGAAAAACGCGACACGATGTTCTACCAAAAATCCTTGTTGCCATATCCGGCTCCTGCGTGCAACCGGGGCGGTTTCACACATGGGACCTTTGAACAGCCTGGAAGGGACAGGCCAGCAGCCGTAGTGCTAAACGAATCTGTGCCAAGCCCTCTGCGACGGAGGGGCAACAAGACGTGGGCCTCAGCACGGGAGCAAGTGCCTCATCAACAGTCAGTAGACGTGAGACAGCCCACAAACCAAAGAGGCGACAAAAGACCACACCAGACGCCGGGGAAATTGTTGTGACTACACACCGGGGATATATTGTAAAACAAATAGGAAAAACCAACATCGTGCCCCTTTTCCTGACCGGCGAACGAAACGCGAAGAACCAGCGGATACAAGACACACTCGCGTAAGAGTTTCACAACAACAATAAAACGTGGTTGATATTTCTCTCTCGTGCTACCAACGGTGCTTGGAGTACTCTTCCCCGAGGTGTGAGCAACGGGCATGTGAGCACTAGGGAGCAGCATCCGACGGGGCGAAGCTCATCAAGACAAAGCGAGAGGCTTCTCGCAGCTTTCTCGTCCAGCCCCAAGAGCGTTCGAGTCACCATCTAGAAAACTGTACCGCGCACGAAGACCAGGGCGTGCTGCTGCAGCCCCAAGACACGATCACACACCTGGGGCCCACACATCACAGTCGAGCTGCAACGCTGCCGCGAGGTGCTCGTCCAAAGTGTCGAACAGCGAGATGTACACCTCGTGCAGTGTGTGCTTGCTGCAGAACTGGTTTATCTCGTGGCTGTTGCGGGTGGGTGTGTGCGCACGTTCCAGGCAGGGTACTGGCGAGTAGGTTTCGGGGGAAATAAGGAACAATGGCAGAACATGCAAATAGTACAACAGCTCGCGTTCGCCGCCAAGCATCCATTTCGCGTTGCATGACGCGATTCAAAACAAACTGATGAACAGTATCTGAAAACGAGAACACAAAGCAGGGGGTACGAGAAGAGAGGTCGGGAGGGAGGTGGGGGCAGCGGCGGATCGTCGATGAATACCCGTCGTTTGAAGAAACACGCCCCTCGGAAGCACTCCCTTTTTGGCTTTATCCTGCCAAGGGGTGTCCACCCGTTCGCTCGTTCGTTCGTTCGTTCTTCGGCGTAATCTCGCTTCTCGGGTATCCATGCGGAACCCCAACCGATTGCGCTGGGGTCGCGTGCGGTGCAGCAACCAGAGCTGCGCGCAGCTTGGGGGAGACCGAGGCTTAACAGGCCAGACAAACTACACATCTTTCTTGTTGGGGTTTGGTTGTCAGCCCCGTTTGGCTGGCTCACTGTATCTTGTCGAAGATCCACGTGGTGTCGTAGTTGACGGTGTAGTTCCTGATGGTGTCCAGCACGTGCGTCTTGCGCAGACGGTTCACAACCTCCACCTTCTCTGCATAGTCCCGCGGCAGCCAACCAGCCCACCCGTTCGTGGTCATCGGCGGCAAGCAAGCAACAGAGACAGAGACAGACAGGGAAACGGCTGTCAGGACCAGGGGACGTTCGGTTGTACCCTTGCCCCATGAAAAACGAGGCTACCAACTTCTTAAGCCGGAGAGAGGTGCCATCGCTCTAAAACCTTGTTTGGCACGCGCTAGGTCACCACGAGCAGCGCCTGTGCGCTGTTACAAAGGAAGGGCAGCACCAAATTTCGGCCACGGTGTGCCCAAATACATTCCTGTACGGCCACACATCTATTAATATCAATTAGTATGAAAACATCGAAAGCGTCGCAGCGGGAATGACGAGACTAAATATTTGTGAAACACTTGCGTGCCGAGCACACGAATGTTCGTCCGTTCAAGCCAAACAAGCACTCGATGAATGCCGACCACTGTAACACCTGCAGCAGCAACAACAACAATGACAACAGCAACAGCAACAATAACAACAAGAACAGCAGCAGCAACAGCAAAAATAAGAACAACAACAACAACAACAACAACGACGACGACGACGACGACGACGACGACGACGACGACAACGACAACGACGACGACGACAAGGAATTAGCACATCGCGGAGCGAACAGCGCAAGTACGTACCGAAATCTACCATCACGCCTCCGCTTGTCCCGCAAGGGATGTCCTTCACCGCATCCGTCTGAACAGTCACCTGTATCTCGGCCATGCTCGTGAGAAGTGGTATCTGGACAGGCGTGTGATGGACGAAATACCCACAGCGTTTAGGAGGGGGCCTTTTCAGGGATGAACGACATGCAAAGAACAAGGCTAAAATTGTACCCTTTGAAAAAAAGAGGGGGGAAATTGCACAGACGCGCTACCAGCGGAGCTGGCAGCAACAAAAGTGTCACAATGCCACAGCCGCAGTGAATGCTCTACAACAAGCAGCAGTAGTACTGCAGCGACGTATCAGCCAAATTCTCTGTGCACACCTACCTTTGTGTGGAAACCTGGCTCTGCGACCGCTCTCATCAGCGCTCCTCCTCTGTAGTAAACTCCTACATGACCTTCGCGGACTTTGGAGAAACACGAGATTAGAGGGAGGGGGGAGGGGAGAGAGAGACAGCGATCAATGAAAACACGGGGGATCTACGTGGATTCGCAGCGAGGTCGTGCGCAACCAACGAGCAGCCATGGCTGACAAAAGGGTGTGTGGATGCCCGCACGGATTTGGTTGTGGTGGTGTGCAAAAATCGTCAACCAATAGAGAGGCGGCTATCAGCCTCACTAGAGTAAAATACCAATATTCTTGTTAACAAATGATGACAATGATGAAGCCTACGTTTGTCGTCATATACGGAACAAACCGATGTTTGTTGTGTAGCGGAGGAATTCAATAATGCATAACTCCTGGAAAACTGGCGTCATGAAGAATCGAGATCCGCCGTAATAAATGGACACGTTGGGAGGAGAGTACATACGTCGCAGTCATACGTCGTTACCCCTGAGACGACGAGAGAGGACCACGGGGTACGTGAGCATGCCGAAGGATTGAGCCGCTTCCCAACATAGGTGGACACGCCTCGCTGTCTCACGCGAGCAGAATGTGTAGCCTAGATCTCTGGGAACAAGCAACTAGACTTCCACGACTCCGGCAAGGCAGACCGGATGGGGCCGCGTTTAGAGGACACAGTGGCTATCACGATGAGAGAGTGGGCCATCTTGCGCGAATGTGGGACTACGTTAACGGACCGCAGCCGGGGGTAAGAGCGAGCGGCGGGGAGGTCGCCCTTGTACTGGAGCTGCTATCGTGTCATGCGACGTTGCCCTGCTCCGCACTGCTATCTTCATACACCGCGACGGGGAAGGGGCTGTACGAGGAAGAAAGTATAGGAGAGCGCTGAGTGCACTAAGAGATGTTGTTGCTGAATCTGGGAGAAGTCCTTGACACTATGCACTGCATCCTTGAAGTCTCGGAGGGGTTCAGGTTTCGGCATTGGGAGGGGATTTTTCCGAGCGTGCAATTCAGAGGCAAGAAAAATCGTAGTCGGACGCATGAAAGCCGTACGCTCAGAACAACATAGAGGACTCGGGACGAGTGTCCCAAAGGCTGACAAATGGGAGTAAGTCAGAACGTAGACAGCCGGGGAAAGGAATGATAGGAAGGTTGACTACCAAGTGGGTGGTAGTCTGGGGTAGACCTGGCCTTGGGTCTAGTTCAACGGGGACTTGGTCATTCCAGACCGCTGTTTGCAGAAGCAGTATCATAGTCGAATTTCCCTGGATGAATAATGCTGACTTGTGAGCAGGGAGAGAGAGAGATAGATACAGTTTTTGAGGGGGGGGAAGGCGCGAGGCTAGCGTGTTTCAAGCGCCGGTTCCTACTCCTTTCCCCTCTCTGTCCCTGGTGACGTAGAAATTTGATCATGATGAAGAGAACAACGAACCCATTTGATTGTTCTCAACACATGTTGGGCTGCATCCTGCTGGTTGTGTTATTGCTGCATAAAAATATGTGACACACCATCCATCACCCCGAACGCTCGGAGTGGCGAACATTGCGTTGGGGTCGTTGCCCTCTCTGGACCTCCTAACTCCCTTCTCTTGGTCCCCGCCGCTACGTAGCAGCCACAACGCCCCAACGGTCGCCATTAAATCTGTGCTAATATACGATTCCAACCGCAAACTGGTTGAACAGGTAGTGTGGAAATGTTGATGTTTTTTCTTTGACACACTCCCCTTACATTCATCTTGTTTCCAACGTATTGGGGGTATCGCACGATCAATCATGTTTCTTGCTGGGACGTTTCTTATGTTGTGACCAAGATTTAGCTCGACGCCTCTGCCACTGTCGTTCGTACGTTTGAGCCTGTTTTGCTTAACGGAGTTTTTCTTAACTGTGGGCTCGTTCTGCAGTACGAGATTGAGCCAAAACTGGGACCGGCCCGAACAACTCCTCTGCGGGCAGTGCTATTCCGTAAGGTTCAAGAAGGTTCCCCTGCTCCCTGCTTGACGGGCAAAGTTCTCCCGGAGGTAATACGGTAACACCAACACCTCCGGAACTTTTCCGCCATGTTTGCCCGCAACCGCGTGCGGACGTTTGGATGGTGGTAGATTACTGCTGTACCGCGCTATGTGGTGTTGTCATGGCCCTCAATTTTGGCGTTCGGTGGCTCCGGATTGTTGCTCAGTCCATCCTGTGAGATAGGCGTTGCTGCTCCAACCTTGTTGGTACAGCAGTGAAGCAGTGATCGATACCAAAATGCGGTGGAACTGCTGTACATACCGATCTGTGGACTGTTGCCCTCCGAGAGTGTTCTCTCCAAATGCATCACAGCACCACAGCGTATCCATCATCGATCGCTGGTGCGCCGTGTCTCATGCACAAGGTCGCATCATATGTTTTCTGCCCTGCCCGTGCCCATGCTTGCGCGTATACCTCTGGAACGCGTCGCTGTTCATCAATACGATCCAACAGCAGTCCAACAGAGGATCGGGTAGATACACGCTGTTTGGCCTAGTGCATAATTTTGCATACCTTTGTGCAGTCCCAATGGCAGGACACACACGTAAATGAGCACAGCTGAAATTCCAAGGATCTGCAGCGCCGACGGATTGACCATTTCGGAATGAAGAGCGGCCGGGAAAGATTAGAATGACGGAACAGACAGGACAGGGCGCCTTCCTCACAAGAGTGTGTAACTCCGTATCTCGTCGAGTTTCCGTCGGTAGGAAAAAAAATAACCGGTTCTAGGGCGCCTTCCGACAGAAGATTCCATTTCCGGCATCAACAAAAAAAAAAAAGAAGGTTTCGCGCCACCTTTGGACGAAAATAAATGCGGCGGGATCCATTTCACAGGGAAGATCAACTCGGAGCCAAGCGTGCACCTCGCCAATCGACTCCGCTTGGTCGAATTACCCACAAAGGAACTCACTGCAGGGTCTCCCGACCCCACCCCGACGAGATACTGCTCTTTCCCTTTCCGTCTCCTGGACGGTGGCGGCTGCTGCCACCATGCTGAGGCGCGATGTCAAAATTGCGGGAGAAGCGAGGGTCATCAGGCACAGATGGCGCACGCACCCCAGGGGCTATCACCTGACCTCCACGCTGCTGAAGAAGGGCACTGAGACTGCGGCTACCAAGGCAATAGGCTCTGTGGTGGATAACCTCTAGGGCGTTGCACGTATGGCCCGAGAGCATGTTGATGACCTCCAAGAACGGGCTACTAAACGTCGCAAGAAGAAACCGGAAGGAGCCGCCACCAGATCTGCTGCCGCTGCTGCGGTGGCTGCTGCTGCTGCCGAACGAGGTCCAAGGTTAGGAGCCGATGCACGTCTCGCTCGCTCGGATCCGCTTGAGGCGCATCTTTTCAGCGGACCGAGGAGAAGCCCACAACCCACAACGACTCCTCCACGACAACGGCAAACGGTGAGTTCAGAGCGGCGTACGGCAAGAGATAGGGTGGTATCTTGCGTTTTTTTCAAGTGTTTGAATTTCCCTGCTGTAGGCTATTTTAGACTACTGCTGTATTTCCGGTACATTCCCCCCCGGGTGCTCTCCATCTTCCCGCGAAAGTATTGAGTCCCATCCTCACATTTCCCCCCCCTCTCGTCAAAACTGCTTTAAATTATATCGTAATCAAACCCAGGCTATCGACGGGCACCGCGACGGGGTGAAGCAGAGCGTGTTAGAGGATGATGTGTTGAAGGAGGAGCTGAGGGAGTTGCTGCGTGTCGGAGAACTTGGAGAGGCAGCGGCGACGAAGGCTGCTGTCGATGCGGAGAACACTCGCGCACTGGTCGCCTCTATAGAGGCGCTGAAGCAACACTCCCACAGCAACATCGGCCGCACTGCCTACAACACCGTCATTGCCGCAGCTGCCGGAGCGCAGCACACGTGCGATCCTGATGACCCTTGCACCCCGGATGAGCCGTGCGCACCTGCTGAGCCGCATGGTGCCGTCAGCCTTACCGCGCGAGCACAGAGTCTCGGTGTGAGAGATGCCACGTTCCGTGCAGCGCGTACCCGGATGCACAGGACTGACCACACCATACCTCCACAGGAAGCTTTGGAGAAGGGGAGATACCTCTGGGCTCCTCGCAAGGAAAGGAGCGACAAGATGGACGAACGTGTCATGGGTTTGGCGAGGAGGTTCTGGCACTCAGACGATATTTCTCGTGCGTCGGGAGACTCCGGTAAGCGGTAGGCGTTGTCAAAAAAATTTTGTTATACAATTGTAGATCGGGGTATCTCCTTTGCCGTTTTTTGTCGACGTGACGTATCAATTGCACTTCTCTATTCCCCTTTAGGTAGCTTCACTATTGCTGCTACACTGCACACTGCTGTTCTTTCGTACACCCCTGTAGGGACGAAAGCTATGTGGAGGCCGTCCAAGAAGGCAGGGGAGGAGTATCACCCCCGTAGGCAGCTCATGGTCGCGGGGGACCAAGTATGGCACAAGTTTCTGAAGTGGCCGGAGTACTTGGGGCTTAAGGCGGAGCTGCTGAGGGAAGACAACAGCTTCACGGACCCTGGGCGGACGCTGTTCCTCTCGACGCGGTGTGGGTGCTTAGGTGGGTAGACATGAGGGGAGAGCTCCTTTTTTTTTTCCCACGAAACAGCGTAGTGACCGTTCCAGCGTAATGAACTCTTCTGCTGTGTCACCGCCCCAGAGGACGGCCTCGTTGCTGACCTGCTGTCCTCCTTTCTGTCCGTTTCAAATGTTCGCTTCTGGTGTGTCACAGTGGAACCCAAGGTATCGCAGTGTGCATGCCAGATCCACACGCAGCAGGGGCTGTACCTGAAGGCCTTCGAGATGTTGATGCCTGCAATACATGCCAACTGTGACTGCACGTGCAAGTGGTGCGACGGGGGGAGTGGGTGTGGAAAGTGGATGGCCATGTGTAAAGATCTGCACAGCTTTTCTGAGGCTTTGGCTTGCGAGAAGGTAGACTTTCTTGAGGAGGACCGAGGGGGTAGGTTTGAGCACTGGGGGAGGAAGCCCGCATGCGTTGCGATGGAATGTTCCGAATGCGGGTTTGGCAACCCAGGCGGCATCCCCATGAACTGCGATGCCCTGGGGTCTATGGCGGACAGAGTAGTCGGGTGGCTTCGGTTCGCGGATCAAGTCATGGAGGATGGGAAAGTGCACAAGAAGCAGCAGCTACCCCAGGGCGGAAAACTGGGTGACCTGTGGCAGGAGTTTGTGGAGCACTCCAAGAAGGTGTGAAGGAATGGACCGCATGTGGAATTGCGCCATCAACTGGAGGCATGTAGTCAATCGTGCATCAACACAATCAATCGCGCAACGTACAACCGTTATTTCCTTTCAACTTACAACTATATTTTCCCGCCCCCCCCCTTGCCCCCCGTTCGTTTTTTATCCCTCAGTATCTTCATCACCATGAGCTAGCAAAGTGGCAGCGCCAAGCCCACAACATGTGCCTGGCGACGTTCTCCAAAGGCGAGCTGTTGGTGGAGACCGACTTTATCGAGAAGTACAAGCACGAGGCTGGCGCTATCTTGACGTGCGCTACTGCGCCCTCCACGACCATGATGGTGGCCCTAGTTCACCACAGTCCTGACGACAACGGCCGGCATGAGACAGACGCATGGGTTTTCGTATCGAGTGATCCCAATCATGACTTCGACTTCCACATCTACGCCATGGACATCATCCTTCAGTACTACATCACGGGGGATGGGCGGGCCGCTACTGCTGGAACCCCGACCCCGACGGTGCACATCTTCACCGACGGGTGCGCCAAACAGTACAAGGGGAAGCGCAACTTTCATGCCGTAGCCAAGAGCTTGCACAGGCTTGGTGCCATCCTCATCCACAACTTCGCGGTCACGTCGCACTTCAAAGGCGCCCACGATGGCATCGGAGGGTTGCTGAAGGCTCTACTGCGAGAAGCGGAGAAAAGGGGCCAGCGCATCCACGACACCGAAGCCGCAGCCGACTTCCTCAAAGCCTACGCCGAGGCAAAGGAGGATGGAGGAGGCCACTTTTCAACCTGGTCTCCCTACCGAATCAGGAGGTTCCACATCAAGCTTCTTGGACACCGAGAGATCCCTCGCCCGTTTGTAGATTTGACCGGCATCTCTGGGAGTTCCAAGCTGTACCAGTTCATGGGAGCGGAGGTCCAGGAGGAGGAAAGCTCGGGCGTGAGCGTAGAGGTGCAGAAAGAGAGCGGGGTTCCTCCCCTCGTAGGTGGCGAGAACGAGGTTGTAGTTAACCCGCTGAGATGGCAGGCAGACGAATCAATCGTTCTGACGGTTCCGGCTGTCACGAAGCGATACAAGCTGCGCGTTCGCCAGGCGTCGTGCTACTGCTCGAAGTGCAGTGTTGGAGCTTACGACGACTGCGTCCCGGCCAAAAAGTATGAGGGGATGGTCGGTATGGTGAAGGATGTGTCGGGCAAGCACAAGGTAACCCGGACGTCTTGTGGTGTAGGGGATTGAGGGGTGTCCGTGTTGCACGTCATGTGTTGATTGACGCCTTTTTCTCTTCGATGTTCTTCTGTTTTTTTGGGTAATTTTGTTGCAGTATTTGTACTTTTTTTGTTGCTGTGTGCTGTTTGTTGCATGTTGCTGTATTCACGTGCAGCAGCAGGTCGTCTCCCTTGCAGTTTGGGATACCAAAAAAGGGTCTCCAGCAGGAGAAAACAATATTTGCAGGCGCTGGTGGCTAATATTTTCACGGTTTGTCGCCCAAATAGGCTGTCTTTTTCCATATATATATTGCACAACATACATTATTTTCAAGCACGTCGGTGAAATAAATGTCCCATATGTCACAGGGTATACTTGGGGTAAATCTCCGCGGTTGCACGCATCAAGTAGCCCAAAAAACGCGCTTGAAAATGGCCCTATAAACACGTTTTATCGCCGTTTTTCCAAAGGGGGGGGACGTTTTAGCCTCATCCCCGTTTTTTTTTTTTCATACAGTGTGCAGTATAAAACACTACATATGGCTGAAACCTCAACATCCCGACGTCGGGCACTCAATTTAACCCGCGGAACTAGGCCTACACCCCACCAAAGCACCCTGACACACTTTTTGGAGCTTTAGTCTTCGGGGAACATCATCAACTGGACCGCTGCACACTCGAGCGCGGAAGGCGCCACAGGAGAGAGGCGGAGGGGGGCCGTTGGGTTGATCTCTCTACAGTATTCTCTCGAGATGTACCCGGGCGGGGCAATCAAATATTTGAAGTGGCGGAGCCCCCGCACTCGGTACGCTGCGGTACGCTGCACGCTTGCACTTTAAATATCTACTTCAGTACCATAAATCCCAATACCAGCGAACCAGTGGGAGGCGGGCAATTCAATTTGATACGCAATGTACGTAGCAAGTCTAGGCCGATATTTTATCAGTGGGAGTTGAGAACAGGGGTCTCTCCTTGCGTGTTTCCTGCCGTCGTTCATCCATGGTCCACTCAGTAAAATATTCACGGTACAAACTTAAACTTCCACTGCTGTGTTTGTATATCGAAAGGATAGCCTTTCTTTGAATGTACCCTTAGTATAGTTTCTACAACCCAACGACAGGTCGTCATGTCTCATTCCCCCAACACACGTTGCTTGCGAAAACAATAGACCAGTGTTTGACAAAAAAACAAAAAACAGACTGCTCACGGGCATTAGGTGTAGTGACTTTTTTGTACAGGGTACAGGCGCGCCCGCACTAAGAGCCGCACGTAAGAACTTGGCAATTAAGAGTTCGGACATATGCATAAAAAACCCGAATCTAAGAAACTGAGCACCAGTTGCGAACTCGGGTACAGTAAAACCCCTGCACTAAAACCTGTATACAGAGCGGCCATTTGTAGTCAACCCCTTCGAGGAACTGCGACTAAGAACCCCAGCCTCGCCCAAAACAACAACAATAGAGGTTCTCAAGAGTGCGGGCGCTAATTGTACTCTAGCATATCCGTTTCGGCTGCAAACCACCGCATCGTCTGCTGCTTGCTGCTGCTGTGGCGCCGTGCCTGCCACGCCTCTTCCCCAAGCACGGCTCTCCCAGAAAACCTTTGTACGGCACTCACAGCAAACAGGAGCAAACACTACACGGGGGTACGGTGCCGAGGAAGCTCGCTGAAGTCTCATCCGCTAGCGCCAACTACCAATCAAAAACGCATCGAAGGCAAAGCACCCAAAGATATTGCCCGTTCCAGCCATACTTAGCTATGCATTCTCATGAGTTGCCCGGCGTGAAACGTGAACATTACCCCTCCAGCACCACGGTGCTCAGACCCCACGGCATTCTGCGCACTTTCGTCGTTTCCATCGCAGTCAGTGATCGGCGGGACTGGTTCAAGAGACTCCCATGAGTGATGACAGGCCAACGAACACAAACAAGACGTGAGACGGAGATCATCCTTCAACAGGAACATTACCCGCACCACCAAGGAAGAAAAAAACGTCCTGGGTGGGGGGACGGCTATATGCAAGGCCTGGATTCTCTCCAAACCCTCACAAAAGTGCAACTCTGACTCTAGCCGCTTAGAACCTCGCGTAAGACGTGCTATCGCTGAAGCGGCAGGGAAGAACCTTCTCGTCTTGACGCCGAGCTCTAAACGCGACATGTGAGATGTCAAAGTACACACGGAGCGAGAGGGGACAACGGAGTGGAACCGGGTTTCGTCGAGGTGAGTTCGAAATAAAAAGTTCATGACCAAAAGGCGGGGGTG